CTTTAATTTGGGGGGGGGAGGGGCTGGGCTCTCCCCGGTTATCCCAGGTACCGGTGCATCACCCCAGCTCAGGGATGCTCCCCCGGCATCTCATATCAATATTCCCAAGGGATTGGTGCCAGTCTGACCCCCCCTAAACACAACCCCTGGGCGAGCTGCAAAGCGGACGCGAAAAAATTTGGGTATTTTCTTATTTAAGAAGCATTTTCTTTTTTTCTTTTCTTACCTTTTCTTATTTTTATATTATTTATAATATAAATAAGTGCTGCTCGCTGACCTCAGCTCTCCAGCCAAACCGCCTCCCCCCACAGTAAAGTTTGCAGGGAAAAAGTAACAGGGAATAAAGCCAGCCCCATTAATGACTCTCATTAATTAAGCTTGGCCCCAACACAACTAATCAGGGAGGTTTTAGCACTTGGTTATTGTTTGGTGCTTCTGAACAAACCCACCCCGAGAAGAAAATGCTCCGCTTGGGAGGGCAAAAACAGGCTGGAAAGTTGCTGGCATCCCAGACAAACATGAAAAAAGCCCCCCAAAAAACCCGAAATTCCAACTCCAACCTCACCCATCCGCCCGCTGCTCCGCAAAGCTGCGTTTGGAATGCCAAAAGCAACCCGTGCTTCAATAAACGTTGTTAAAAAAAATGGAGAGGTTGGGGGATTGTTGTTGTTGTTATGGGGTTTTGGGTGATTTATTCTTTTCTTTTTGGAGGCTACCGCTCGCTTTTTCGGGTAGTGATTTTTACTCTGCGTCGCTGAAGGCCGGCTCGCCTGCCCCAGCAAGCCGACGGTGAGCGCGGGGTGAATCACGGCAGCACCGCGCCGCAGGGGTGGGGATGCACCACGCCGGCGCGAACTTTGCTAAAAAAAAAGGCGGCAGGTAGCAACCCCCCTTTGCTCCAACGCCAGCCACCACCCCACAGAGAATTAAATAATAAAGTTACTTTTGCAGTTTTAACCTCTAGCAAAAAGAAATTCTGCTTTTAACCTCCAGTAAAGAAAATATTTCTATTTCTACTAAACTCCCAGCAGCTTGAAGAGGCGAAGGGAAAGGGTTGGTAGGACGGCTGCCGGTGTTTTTGGAGGTTCTCCGCGGGCAGGGTCACCGTGAGTCAGCTCCTCCCGCTCGCTGCTGGCTTCCCAGTTCCAAACACACTGCCCGGCCTGATCCGGGAGCCTTTCGGCTTTAACCTCGCCATTAAAGGAGAGGCTTAAGATGGAGAGTTACGAGGAAGAAAAAAAAAAAAAAAGTTGATTTTTAAGGGCAGCCTTGCATGGGAAATTCCTGCAAAACCAGGCGAAGGGTTTGTTGGTTGTTTTTTTTAACCTCTTGCAGAAAACACTGGCTTTATTTGGAGTTTAAGAAAAAAAAAAAACCCAACACACTTCCCCTTCTGACGTTTGTGCAGTAAACTCACTCACAGCCTGGAGATGGCCAGCATGGATTTTTACCCCCCCAACTCCTATATCTTATAGGAAGGTGAGCATAGCGCTTGCAATTTGAATAAATTAATAATTTTTTCTGCTGCTTCCTGCTTCCTTCATTACTCGAACACGGAAGGCAGGATGCTCAGAGGAGCTGCCAACCTGTGGGGTGACAGCAGCCCCCCAAACCCACAGCGGGCTGCGTCGGGCTTCACAACTCACTTTACCTCCCTCCCCCAGCATGGGAGGGTGTCGGGATGCTGCCTGCCTCATGGAACAAGGAAATGAATAATCACTTTAAGAACAAAAATAATAACATTTTTTAAATGTGTCCCAGGAGGGAATTTCAGGAAAATCCATATTCAAAGAGAGCCCATAAAAAATAGCCACGAGGCTTTAACGAGCATGCCGGAGGCCGATTCCCAGAGGTCCCGTCCTGGGACGGCTGCAGGGGGTAACCGTGGGGAGGGGGTGCAGCCGCGCAGCATCGTGCACGTTTGCTGGAGCAAAGATAACCGGATCCAGCCACTGCCCGGGATACCACGGCTGCACGCTGGCAGCCCAGGAAAACCTGCCGCACCCACGGCGGGCCGGGTAAAACCTGCTCCAAAAGCCACGGCGCGGGCCCCGACATCTACCAACAAGGGGGCTTTCTGCAGCCAGAGTGGGGAGGGGGGCAACACCAGCACCGCCAGCATCAGCCCAGATTTTGGGGGAGGGATTATCAGCGTGGGAGAAAACTCACAGCGAGGGGAAGCGGAGTCAGAGCGGCATTATTTTCATTTTTTATTTACTTT